AAATGCTTGACCTAGCATAATAAACTTATGAGAAAGTACATTATCTTATGAAGAGACACTCAGATTATAGCTTCTATACTTAGTAAAAGTATGTCTAAAATATCAGAAAGCTAATGTTATGTTCCAGCTTTTCTGGTGTTTCTGCAAAGGGTACATGCTTGAAAAATGTGTTCTATTTGTACTCATTCAAAATAGTTGCTTCTCTATTAAAAAAAAAAATCTTTTATCTGTTTGCTACAGGGTCTCCCGACATTTCTCAGGCTCAGAGTGATTTTCCTTCTCAGCCTCCCCAGAGCTGGGATTACAGGCAGCATGTGGCACTGGGGATCGAACCAAGGCCCTTGGTCTTGCCAGGCGGGCGCTTACACCGCCGAGCTCTCTCCCTAGCCCTGCTTCTCTTTTTGGAGTATCATCCTTGGACTTCTGCTGACTTTTTCTCACAGTGGGTCTGCACCCACCGCTCCTGCGCAAGATCAATATTCTCCTCCGCTTTTCTCAAGTAACTCACACACGCAATGGCCAACACCAGGAGGTCAGCTCATACGCGTCTCTGTGGCATGGAGCTTGCTTTGGCCCGATGAGATCACCTAGGAGCAAGTGCACCAAGGGATGGCAGGCGGAGAGCCACACCTCCGTGGGAAGGAACAGAGAAACCCAGGGACTCAGGTTTCCCTTCATTCACTGCTGCACGCCAAGTTCAGGTTGTTCTGTTAGACAGCATTATATCAATACAAGTTAATAAGCAAAATATTCTTTTCTTGCTGTATATTAAATGCAAACTGTCTGAAGTATACAATCCTTTGATATTTTACATATGATTTAAAGGTATATTTTTAATGTTGAACGTATTTTAGATTGCAAAAAATTTTAATTGTACTTTACGGATTTATAAGAGCAATCTATATTTGCTTTGAAAATCTAGTATTACCATATCATGTTTAGTATTTTTATGCACGGGGAACTCAACTCATTTGTGAAGTTTAAGGTGCTTATTTAAAAGTGCAAGAGTATTCTAATCCGGATGGGAGAGAGAAAACCAAAAGCTTATTTGGGAAAGAAAGTGACGTGGAAACTAAGAAAGAACGTGACCAATCCAGGTAGACAAGATTTAAGTTTATTTATCCGACTCGCATGTCCTTTTCTGCAAGGACATTTACAAATTTGAAAAATAAAAGGAGTTCTGAATAACAAATGATCACGCTTTATTTGCAGTATTACAAGTATGCTCCTTTGTGATAAATTATTATTTGGAAATGCTCCAGTGGAATCTGGTACCAATTAATTTAACACTTCATATAAGAAATAATAAAACATTTATCTTCAAGTCTTACATATATTATTTAAAATAGATACAAAATTCATTTTGTAGTTTTAAATTTTACTGCTATTTTAAGCTCTCTGACACAAATACCTAACAGAAAAAAATTCAATTGTCTTTAATAGTATGTTTCTAAAGCAGTCCACTCTTAGGTTACTTAGCTATTTTATCGGTCAAATGATGAGTGAAATTATCTTCAAAAGAAAGAAATAGTATTTTTGGGCAGGTACAATCGTATTTGAAACTAGTGTAAGATTCAAGTTGGAATCTAATTCAGGAAGTTGATTAAAAATTGAACATTGCACAAATTCATAAATAGTTGCTTTGTATCCACCTTTACTGTTAACCTGCATTACTGAAGCACACTGGTAACAAAAGGATAGAAAATAGGTACATAGGTACAAATGCATCAAGGGTGCATTAGTTTTTAAAACAATTTCTCATACATATTTCCCTGTCCAAAAATATAGACTTGCTTTTTTCCTCATATACAAGTGTCTTGCGGAATCTTGGACTCTGAAAAGAAAACGCTGAGGTATAGTGCGGAGAAAACGTCAAAGCACATGCTGTTTTGGCTGAAAGCCACCAAAGGTACTGTCTATAGGGACACTGAAGCATGTTCCCAAAAGTTCAGGTCTTGTCTAAATCTGCTAGAGACATCAAATAATCGAACTCCTCCACATTAATATATACAAAGGTATTTTATTATTAATCAAAGAAAGGGAATGAGAATCATCAGAAAGTACAACTTTATTTTTAAAATACATATATTTATTGCCATCATTGTTCCATAATTGTCATAAAGTTAAGAGTCAAATGGGATTCAGAGACTTGCAAGTTGTGGAGATGGACACATGAGGAGAGTGCAGAACTGTACACAAAATAATTACAATTTATGAAACACACTTGTAGTGTGTCCTTGAGGGATGAGGGTGAGCACCATATTTTTATGCCTACATACTTTTCTCTCCTTTTCTCTACAGCACCAGAGACAGCCAACCAGAAAGCCGAGGGTCAGGACTCAAGTGTCGGTCTGCCTCCACCCCAGCCGCGCCGCCTCAGCACTGACGG